ACTCCCAGCTTCCTGATCAGCAGCCTTATTGCTGACTGTTCAGAGAACGCTTTCGTTTGAATAAAAGCTCTAAATTCTCTGCAATAAAAAAGTTAAGCGAGAGGCTAACAACGCGACAGGCATAAAATCTTTACCATTAATTTTCTTTTGGTGCGGGGCATTGCCGGTCAGGCGGGCAGGCTTCGTCCCGGGAGACAGCCTCATCGAGATATGCGCCCGATTTTGTGAACGAGCCCATTAGTCTCTATGCAAATCACATAAGTCCTGGCACTTTAAAGCCCATTGGTCTCTGGTTTGCAGAGTTCAGGGGATAGAAAATCCCGAGTTATAACCCGTTAGGCCTTGTTTGGTAGCATGGCGGAGAAAGCCCAGGGCAATAAGCCCCTAGGGGTAATATTCACGCGCACATGTGATTCCCCACCAACGGCGGGGGGAATTTCTGTCACGGCAGCGGGAAGGACGAAGCTTAGACGTGGAGCGCTAGAGGGAGAATGGTGGGGAGCATTGCTTTCCAGCCCCGTCGCCACTTTTTCGCGGGAGCCAGCGGGGTTTGCTCCCCGACCTCTCGAGGCGTGGAAACCGCTCCCGGGGAAAGGACGTGGAAGGGGCATGGGTGCCCCGATCTCATGGGAGTCCAAATGCAGGGGTGGGCTTCCCAGGACTGATTCACCCCGTGTTTTCTACACCCAAGGAAGAGGCAGGGATCCCGGGAGGATCCCCTGCAACCAAATGAGCCCTTAGTGATCTTCATATCACGCATATTGTACTCCTTTTCTCTTATGAGTTTTTTATGATGGTTTTTCATATAAGGTTTTCAATGAGACAATATAAATACAAGTGTGAATATATGCCATATTGGTTCTCCTTGTTGAGTATAATGTTTATTAGAAAAGACAAGATAGACTAGGATTTATTCTGGCTTATCTTGTACTCCAAGTAGATCATTGTACTCCCACGAGGCTCAAGCAATACAACGAACTATTCCATCAAATCCCCCTCTCCCTTCTAACATGGTATCAGCCTAATCACGATCCAAACCCTTGCCGCCACCGCTTTCGCACCCGCGCTCCGCCCCTGGGGCGGTCGGCCTCTATGACCGCCGCCGGGGGCCGCGCCGCCCGTACCTAGGGTTTGTCCGCCGGCCGTGTTGGTCGGCTGTCCTAGATAGTCTTTTTTCCGGATCCTTTGATCCGAGTTTTCTCTCTCTCGCCAGTCGCTTTGATCGGCGTCTAGTTTTTGGTTTTTAGGTCAATGTGATCCGGTTTGCGTCGTCCATCGCCGTCGTCGACCCCGTACGCCTCTACTCCAACACCGGTGCGATTGGCCAGCTTCTTCACTGACCCAGCGGCCTCGCACGTCGTCCGCGCGTCTGCCCGTCGGTCGCCCCGACGTGGCTGCCTCGTGCGTCGTCCGCGCATCGGCCCGCCGGTCTCCCCGACCCGGCGGCTTCGTGTTATGCGGCGGCCCTTCGCCGTCGCCGTTCGCACGCTGGCCCGCCCGTCGGTCTACGCCGGCCGTCACCGCCCTGCTTCGACCGGGACTCCTGCATCACCCAACCCGGCGGCCTCGCGCCATGCGGCGGCCAATCATAGCCGCCCTGCCGCCCGCCGCCGCCGGCTTCATCTCGGACTCCGCCGCCACCACGCCTCCATCGAGAGGCGTCCCCAACCTCGCGCGCGATCGACTTGATCACCCGCTCACCGCCGCGATCCGCCTCATCTACGTCGCGCGACCGACCTGGCCCGTCGGTTACGCGCGCCTCCGCAGGTCCCGTGAAGATCGTTCCCGAGTTCAGCGCGTCCCTCCACCGATCGAGCAACTGGTTGCCGCTGCGTCGCCCCATCGGGCCGCAGTACCGCCAACCCCGTGGTTCTTCTCCTGGCTGCACCGACCCGCGTCACCGCTGCGTCGCCCCTTCGGGCCGTAGTGCCGCGGCCCGCGGTCCACCGCTGCCCCGAGGCCGTCCACTCCTGGTCGTCCCCGTGGCCGCACCGACCCTCGCGCCGCCGCTGCGTCGCCCCGTCGGGCCGTAGCGAGCGTGGCCCGTGGTCCACGCAGCCATCCCGATGCCGTTCCCGCAGTTGCACCGGCCCGCACTCCTCCGCCGCGCCGCCCCTTCGGGATATCGCGCCGCGGCCCGCGGTCTCCGCCGCCGCCCTGAGGTCTTACCGCCGTCGCCCCGACCTGCCCGCCGCCATTGCGTCGCCCCTTCGGCCGTAGCGCCGCGGCCCGCGGTCCACTCCGCCGTCACCGCGTGTCGACCTCCCGTGGTATGCGCTGCGCCGTCTCCCTTGCCGCGGGAACGCCACCATCCGCGCCGGTCTTCGTCACGCTGTTGGGTTCTTCGCCTACTTCGAGCACTGCCGCCACGCTCCTAACCTAGCCGCCGCCGCCGCTCTTCTTTGGCCGCCGCCGCCGCTACCCTCGTAGCTGCCGCACCCGCTCATCCACCTCCTTCGTCTTCGTCCAGCACCAGCCCGTCGCCAGCGTCGTCGTCATCTACCTCGACCGCTTCATCTACTCCGACAACCGTGGGCGACATTGGCCCCGTGCCGATTGGCACCGCAACCGTCGTCGAGTCCTTCTCTGCTGGTCTCTTCGACTTCTTCGATATGGCGTACAACTCGTGCAGGTCCCAGTCTACGCATGCCCGGTGCTGGACACCGCCGCGTGCCTTCATCCACGACATGTCCCCGGGCCCAGCAAGCCTGGTGCGGTGCTTCGTCAACTTCGTCTTCGTCCGTCTACGCATGCCCGGTGCTGGCAACACCAACACGTGCCTTCGTCTACGATGTGTCCCCGGGGTTGGCAATCCCGGCGCGCTGCATTGTCAACATCATCTACTTCCTAGCGCACCACTACTTCGACACCACTGCGCCTACGACTAACTCGGCGCCTCCTTGCGCCCGTGGCTCCATGGCAACTTCCTCGACACCGGCTACCCCGACTCGATATCGACCACGACGTTCTTCGCTCGGCTACCTCGACCACGGCTCCACCACTCACGCTCTCGGCTACCTCGACAAACGGCACAAAGGGCTATCGCCTTGCTTGAGCAACCTCGTCGGTTGCCACTCCAGCCACGACTCCGCGATGCGTCGACCGTTACGACTGTGGGGGGTGTCCGTCGGCTTGCCTTCGGATTCTTCTCCAGTCTCACGGTCTGCGTCACTACCGTTGTGACTGTGGGGGGATGTTGAGTATAATGTTTATTAGGAAAGACGAGATAGACTAGGATTTGTTCTGGTTTGTCTTGTACTTCAAGTAGATCATTGTACTCCTATATATATGCTCATGAGGCTCAAGCAATACAACGAACTATTTCACCAAATCCCTCTCTCCCTTCCAACACTCCTTATATTTTTTCCACTGGACTTTTAAAAGAGTTTTCGATGGCATATTATAAGGTTTCTTCTCAATTTTTTCCCACGGGAATTTTTGGAGGAGTTTTCAGTTTGCAATATATAGATGACGAATTGATCAAAGGGGAGTGTTGAGAAATAAAACATGTGATCAATTGTTTATGAGAGGGATGCCTACATGAGGTGTCCGTTTGGGGAAAAGATGTCTTCCCAACACACCCTTCACCGTGTATATAACTGGGTCTCGCACGTTGCAATGAATCTAGAGAATTATTTGTGTCTCTCCTTTGTCTCCTTTACTTGTCCCCTTTACTTTGATACTACAACAACTGCCACTATAGTGACACATGCATTTCCCGACTTTCGGTGCAGAATAATAAAGCCGTGAAAAGGGCGCCACAGAAATTTAATATTCCACTCGAGGCATTCGGCGTCCACATAGATGTTCTCCGCGGACAAGGGCCCGTGAAAAAGCGTTTGGTTTTTCTAGCGGTGGGGCCCGCGAAACACGCTAAGTCACAACCTCGATTCAGTGACTTGGCGCTGAGTCTCAAGGCGCACAGAAATGAGTAAAATAATCGAGACGTTCGACGAATTTGACGCCGGAGGATTGGTCGGTTGGGGTATCATGGTTGATTTGATTTCCTCTACCTTCTACCTGGAGTGTTTTCTTTCAGGCGCAAGAACAATTGTTCTACGATATATATTATATTAGGCGTAAATTATGTACAAAGGTAATCAAAAAGGTAAAATCAGTCAATGCCAGTTTTAAGAAACCTCATAATTTTTTTACAAATGTTGCTCAGACCAGTATTTCAATTGATGTGCTTTCCCCTTGCTTTGCTCGTTGAATTGCCTTCGGAATGCCTTCTGCTAGATGATGGCGCCAAGCTTGTATGGAATGATGAACTGCCTTGAAGATTTGTCATTTCTAACCAACCAGATGCCCCAGCAACTTGCAATAATCATGTCCATGGCGATCCCATGTGGGAGCGCCGCAGCCGTAAGACAAATTTCATCATATTGTGAAATACCTCTTTGCCTGGTGGGCACAATTTGAGACCAGCATTCAGCGGCAAAAGTACAGTCCCAGAAGAGGTGCAACAGAGAGCACATGTGTAGTTTGGAAGATGCATTGCTTTCCTGTGTAACAGATTCCTGGTGTTGACTCGGCCTGGAGTGTGTATCATGTTTGATTTGATTTCCTGTTACCTTGGCCCTTCGCTACATGATTGATTTGATTTCCTCTACCTTAGCTTGAACAGAAACAGGATTGAACAAAGGCATGTCTTATGTCATTCGATTGACTGTGAAAGTGGCACTGCAAACTCGCTCTCATACAGAACTGACGTTAATGCAGAAAAGGAGAGCCGAGGGGCACACATGGCCGGCTAAGGCCGTGGAGAATCTAGTTTGATTGTCTTCTTCAGATTCAGTCCAACTCCTTTGCCGCTGTGTTTATGCCCAAATCACTCGACGGGCGGCCCGTGCAGCGCATGCCGATGAGCCGCATCTTGATTCTTCAACCAAGGAGAATCTCTTCGATCCCGCGCTCACCAGTTAGCCACGGGCGACGGCGTCGTCGTGCACGCAGATGTTGTTGGCTCAAGTGCGTAGGCAGCTTGGCCCTGTCACCGGTTAGCTCGCGACGGACACCTCGCAGGACTCCCGGCGTGCACGGCCGGACTCCGTTCCCGAAGAGAACTGCTTCTGCCTCCGGGCGGCCGCCCTGGCCGTCTGCCTGGCGCAGGCGGCGTCGAGCCGCATCTGCTCGTGCCGGCACTCGTCGCTGCAGAAGGGCATGTCCCCTCTGTACATGAAAATGTCGCAGTCCCGCGCCAGCGGCTTGGTGCAGAGCGCGCAGGCGTCCAGGGCGTGCACGCCGGGCTCGCCGACCGGCTCGGCGTCGAAGAAGAAGGCGCAGGCCATCCTGTGCTCGTGTGTGTAGCTAACTTAGCAGTGAGTCGTTGCCTTTGGTGCGCCGGGAGTGGGAGGATGAGTGTTTGCTGTGCTGAACCAAACTGGGGTCTGGGTATATATGGTTTGCCTTGGTTGAAGAAGCAATGAAACAGGCTCGCCGCGGGCGAGACGAGCCCACAGGGTCAGCCAAATACCATGCGCCGCCCGGACGAGGCTAACCAAGGACGATGGAGTGGTTCGGTTTCTTTATTCGCGGGCTCCGACACGGGCCCACGGTGCCATGCGGTGGGTGGCCCGCCCGATGGCAGATGTGGCTCCACGGCGGCGAAAACGACGGGAACCATGTTATGTCCAGGCGACGTGCACGGGGTCCCGGCCACCGATAGCAACGTACAGAGGTCGCTCCAGAGATGTCGTCCTCCAATCCATGTACCCCCAAATCTGTGGGCTAGCGCCCGTAGTCTTGGAGTACGACACCAATACCATCGACTGATTGGAATGGAAATACAAGTAAGGGGTGTAAGACATAGAGTTTGGGAAACTGCTCGACATCCTAAACGGTATGTGCCTATCTCATTATATAGAAGTATCAAAGGGTACAATACAATTACAGACATATACAAGGGTCTACGTGTATATACAGTCTAACACACTCCCGCAATCTTAACTATGGCCTGAAGTACAAAGCAAGTTAAGATTGTGTCTACAGCCTACAAACTGTGGTTGTGGAAGAGGCTTCGTGAAGATGTCAGCAAGTTGATCTTTTGATGAAATGAACTTGATACTGAGGAGCTTCTGTGCAACACGTTCTCGGATAAAGTGATAGTCCACCTCATTGTGTTTTGTCCGAGCATGAAACACCAGATTAGATGAAAGATATGTAACACAAATGTTGTCACACCAAAGCACTGGAAAATGAGCAGGAGAGACTCTCAATTCCCTCAACAATGACTGCACCCATATGATCTCAGCAGTCGCATCAGCAACTGCTTTGTACTCAACGTCAGTACTGCTGTGAGACACCGTAGCCTGCTTGCGAGCATTCTAGGTGTCGATGTCAAAACCGGCGGATCTCGGTAGGGGGTCCCGAACTGTGCGTCTAGGCGGATGGTAACAGGAGACAAGGGACACGATGTTTTACCCAGGTTCGGGCCCTCTTGATGGAGGTAAAACCCTACGTCCTGCTTGATTAATATTGATGATGTGTGTTACAAGAGTGGATCTACCACGAGATCAAGGAGGCTAAACCCTAGAAGCTAGCCTATGGTATGATTGTTGTTCGTCCTACGGACTAAAGCCATCCGGTTTATATAGACATCGGAGAGGGCTAGGGTTACACAGAGTCGGTTACAATGGTAGGAGATCTACATATCTGTATCGCCAAGCTTGCCTTCCACGCCAAGGAAAGTCCCATCCGGACACGGGACGAAGTCTTCAATCTTGTATCTTCATAGTCTTGGAGTCCGGCCGATGATGATAGTTCGGCTATCCGGACACCCCCTAATCCGGGACTCCCTCAGTAGCCCCCGAACCAGGCTTCAGCGACGACGAGTCCGGCGCGTACATTGTCTTCGGTGTTGCAAGGCGGGTTCTCCTTCAAACTTCATGTTCCTGTCGAATAGTGTCCGGCTTCCTTATAAATGTTGCGCTCCTTGGCTTCTACGCCCAATAATGGCCTTCTTCCACGTGTCGTATGAATGCGAAAAGCTAGGGTATTTTTACATTTTACCCCCTAGCCGTGCGAATGAGCCGCCTATAAGAGAGGCGAGGATCTAGATCCAACTCACACCATCCTCCTTCCGCAAGTACTCATCGAAGCGACTCTGACAAAAATCCATTCTATCATGGATACTCGACGCGGCTCCTCCTCTCGCGCTCCCAGCCCTAAGCCAGGAGATTGGTGGAGATGCTCAGTTTCACACAGCGAGCTAGTGGCGCTCCAAACCGAGGGATATCTTCCCCCAGCCTTCATGGTTCCGGTTCGAGCCGGACTGGCCACCTTCAGGGGTGGAAAGCAGGCGGAGAGCGTCCCCAACCCTTCCAAAGGAGAGCGGGTATGCTTCGTCCCTTATCTAATAAGGGGACTCGGATTTCCCATACATCCGTCTCTCCGGGGGCTCTTGGAGTTCTACGGACTCCAGCTTCACCACCTTACACCTGCCTCCATTTTGCACATCGCGGGCTTTGTAGCTCTTTGCGAGCTGTTCTTGGGCATCGAGCCCCATTTTGCGATGTGGAAGAGATTGTTTTGCCTCGTACCCCGTTCTCACAAGGGGTCGATATATCAAGTGGGCGGAGCCGAAATATGGCGCATCGCCGAGACCGGATATCTATCCGGCACCCCGAAGAAGGCGTCCGAAGACTGGCCTTCGGAATGGTTCTACATGGAGGACGCCCCTCTGCCGGATCCAGTTCGGATCAGCCTCCCGGAGTTCAGCAATGCTCCCTTGAAGAAACACCTGAGTTGGCGCCCGCGGAGCCCTCAACGGGAGGATGATGGGAGCGTCCATTATCTGATGGGCCGGATTAGGTTACTGGCCCACTCTGGATTGACCATGATTGGAATCATGGCCACGTGCATTATGCGAGGGGTGCAGCCGTTCCAATATAGGGGCCACCCTATGTGGGATTTCAACGGGGAAGATGACGCCACCCGTCATGGCCGCAGAGGGCCGGGCTCGGCAGCCGATCTAGTAAAGATCATGTCCGGCTTGTACAAGGGGGAGGAGGAGGACTTCCTCCGCACGAGTCCATTGAATGGATTCTCCATGAATAACCCTCGGAGCTGGGTAAGCGGACGTTTATCTACCCGATCCATATTTCCAAAGTCAAGTATTTTACTTTGTGATTTCGATGCAGGAGCTGCGCCGGGACGTGGAGGGCATACAAAGCCTAACTCCACAGCCCGAGGATCCGGAACGATCCCTTGATCCGGCCTCCGAAGAGGATCCGGACATAAAGGTGGAGCTGATTGACGGGGTGTTCCACCAACTTAGCATGGACAATGCTCTAGTCGCCATTACGACTGACTACCCTGGTTTGTTTCCGGCCTCCCAGGTGACTACGACCGAGGTCTTGACACCATCATTTGATCCATGCTCATTTCTGACCATCCTATACTGATGGTGCATCGCAGGAGGTGCCTTTAAGGCGGGAAGCCGAACCCGCGGCGGCTGACCAGCAAGGGTCAGTTCGGCCCAGCAGGCGGAAGAGGAGTGCGACGCGAATCGAAACGTCGCCTCAACGGTACGGCACACCGCTGTTTTTAAGGGAAGGATCCCTAGGAGGTATATTAATGCTCATAACTTTTCCAGAAGAAAGAGCGCTCGCCGGACAGTGTCCGGAGAGGTTGCCAATCAAGCCTCCGCCAGCCATGCTCCAACGCGTGGTCCAGAAGGGGAGGCGAACACAAGGCATGAGCCGGATGCTCCCCCAACGGAGGATGCCGACAGGCTGTCCGCCACCAGGTCTGAGGTGGAGAGCGCCATGAATCACAGGCGTCGCCGGACAGTTCTTCGTGACGCGTGTTTCTCCCCGGAGGCGTTGAATGCCTTTGATGCGGGAGACGCGCACCTCCGTGCCGCTCAAGATGGTTTAACCAGAGCCACGGAGCAGTATGTGAAGGACATACGAGTAAGTAATTTTAATAGTTATATATGCCAGTAGCCCCCGAGACTTAAAATAGTTAAAATAACTGATTTAAGGATCATTTATTATGCAGGATCTTACGGAGAAGAATACCCACCTGTCCCAGGAGCTTCAAGAGTGCAAGGCCCTACTTGAGGCCGCACTGGCCGCCACAGGGGGAGCCACAGAGACCCCCGCTGGTAATACATACTTCGAAAAGATAAGTAGTTAACAAAGTGCGGCGTGTGCGTAAATCTGACAATAATATTACAGAGGGCGCCGGACTAGATCCGGACAAGCAACAGCTACTGCGTCAGCTGAAGGCTGGCGAGAGGGTGCTTATGAAGGTGCAGCAGGAGAGGAACAAGGTCCAAGATGCCCACACCCAGCTAGGAGAAGAGCTGAAAGATGTTCGGGCCCAACTGTCTGGCTCCGTGAAGGAGAATCAGCGGCTTCGTCGCGGCATTTATAGTAAGTGCTTGAGTGAATTCCTTTGAAAAGAAGAATTCGGCGAGGAAGTCGATTGACATAAATGTGTCTTTAGGTGTGCTCACAGGTCGCCCTGCGAAGGGAATGCCCGATTCAACGGGTGACCAACTCCCCGAGCTGATGCAACTGCACGAACGTGTTCGGCAAGCGATGAGTGGCGTCGCTCAGGCCTTATGGCCGTCCGTCTCCCTACCCGAAAGCCTTGAAGGGCTTGCCGAGAAGCTTCAGGGAGCACGGCAGCGCTTCCGTCTGTGGAAGATATCAGCCTGCCGTCAAGGCGCTAGGGAGGCCTGGGCCATGGTGAAGACGTGGTACAAGAAGGCGGATCCGAACCACATGGCCGAGGTCGGGCCTGTGGGGCCTGATGGGAAGGAGATCCCTGTGAGCTTGATGTATGGCCAAGTAGAGTTGGCCGCTAAGTATTCCCAACAGGACTGTAAATTAGACAGCCTGCTAGACGGGATCGAAGAGGAGTACAATCAGTCAATTTGACGATGTATTTTAAAATGACATGTAAAATGCCTTCTAGCCGGATTGTAGATCGTTTGTCTTTGCCGACCTTTTCGCTTCAACCTCGGGACCCTAGAGTCCGGAGTGTGTCCGAATACCTTCTCAGTTATGAAAAAACCGGGGCATGCATGGAGACCAGGCGTAGGGGTCATTAGTGCTTTATCAGACAAGTGCCCAACTAGTTATGTTATATTACATGGTTAGTAAGAAACATCTTTCAGGAAGAATAGTTCCGTTAGGGGTTCCTTTCCCTGGGAGGCATGCCCTAAAGTGCATGCCCACACTGCGAAAAGAGCAGAAAAAGCATCTGGGGGCAGATAAGTTAAATAAGTAATAAATCATCTTTCAAGTCACTGACCGAATATTCTCTTAAGAACGCTAGC